GGTAAGGTGAAGATTACACATTTGCAATCATACTGTTAATTTTTTCCTTGGAAAGAGGCAGCTAGATTTTGGTGATCCTCTTTTGGGCTTAGGAAATACTGTGGTCTGATGGAGAAGAGCATAAAGCCGGGACTCCAGACAGAGACTTTTGCTTGGCTGGTAACTGATGAGCAGTGTGTTACCAAACAAGGCCTTTGACCTCTCCCTCGGCAACTTGAACCCCACGATACCCAAGTGCCATGTTTGACTAAGGAGCTATAGATGTTATCTGTACGAGAAGAGATGATGTCCAAAGGCCCTACAACGCTTCTATCCGCCTTCTCAACGCAGTCACTAAGCTCACAGCGTAAAGATTAGGTGCAACAAACCTATGAGGGTTAAAGTACGGCAGTTTTTGGATAGAACGTGGAGTCTCAAACAACGTTATGCTTAAGAAAAATGAAAGAGTGAATTAAAGTGGAAAAGATAACTGTGTAATTGAATGACGTCCATCCAATCTTGTATTACTACAGAGTAGACAATGGATAGAACGTGGAGTCTCAAACAACGTTACGCTTAAGAAAAATGAAAGATTGAATTAAAGTGGAAAAGATAACTGTGTAAGTTGAATGACGCCCATCCAATCTTGTATTACTACAGAGTAGACAAAATTTAACTGATTTATTTTACTTCTGTCTACAAATAGTATGTCTGCCACAGGTACTTGAAGACTGGGGATTTTTGAGACCCCCCAGTGCCATTTGTGACTCTGGTCTTGGCTCCAGTGCTCTTTTGGAGTTCAATGAATCTCTGTAACATGAAACTCATGCCTTCTGCTTTTTTCCCCAGGATCATGTTTGTTCCCTTTCCAAAGTACCTTTCCGTGGGGCTCCTTGCAGCGATGCCGCAGGGCGTCAGGTGCCCTACAGCGCCCTCATGAAGCAGGTGAACAGTTCTCTTTCAGGCGTGCTGTGGGATGAGGTACAGAAGTCTCCATTTTATGAGTACGAGGTAAGTGTCTCTTTACAAGACACCACGTTGTGGAGTAAATGTTCATCAACGTTACTTGATTATAAAGTTTCCAGGATTAAATTCTACTAAGTGTTTTCTACTTCTTTTTTTTCATGTAGCAAAGGTTGGCTGGATTTCCATATCTTTAATTTCTAGTCTGAAAGAGGGATGCAGTGACTGAAGACTACAGGAGTAATAAAGATCTTTACTTTGCAGTTTCCTCGAGAGGTTGTATCATGTCAGAAAGGACGTTTCGGCGCAAAGAAATCCTACAGCTCCACCCTTCACTGTTACACTTTCTGTGATGAGTTGATGACTGATTTAAACTAAAAGAGAATCTGAGATGCTCTTAAGTTGTTCTAACCCAGTGGCTTGCATGCATCTCCTCTTCTGCATTTGGGTTCTAGACAGACATAAGTGAAAGAGTCCATGAATGACTCTGCTGACATGAACAACGCAGTGTATGATGCGCTTCATCTTACTGCTTTGGACTAGATGATTAAAAGGTGGTGTAGGCAAGGACGAGGCCAAAGCAACATAACTTTGACAAAATTTTACAGCCTCCTCTAGAACTGTTTATTGCTGAAAAAAAGGACTTAATCTATAACTAAATTCACCTGTTACATTAGATAGATACTCTGAGATTTTAGCTGTATTAAAAAAAAATATTAAAATACAAATTAGCTAAGTCACCTAACTTCAGTTAAAATGTGTCCCTGTTTTATAACTTAGCTTCTTCAAGTAAAAAAATAGCCACGTATTTGACTTAAAATTTTTAATTGTCCTGTGTGAAAAATAATTTGTAAATCAGGAAAGTATCGCTATGTAAATCTACAATAGCTTGTATATCTCCGTCTTTAATTGTGCTTTTCTCTGCATTCAACAGAAAAATGGAACCAAAACTCAAATGAACTTTAACGTATCATGTTTAGGTAGATACTGACACTAGTGTTTTAACTGTTTTTTCTAGGATTCTCTTGGTCACTTCCACCAAGTGTGGTACGACGACCCTCGCAGCATCGCTCTGAAAGCAGCGTATGTGAAGAATCGAGGTTTAAGGGGCATCGGCATGTGGAACGGAAATAGTCTTGACTATTCCCCAGAAGCTGCAGCGAAACAACAAACTGAAGCAATGTGGCAAGCCCTGACACCGTAAGAACCACGTGAACCCTTGATTTAGAATGATGAAAATTGGTCGTTTTTATTATGGCTTACACTATCCTAGACGTTGACTTTATAGGAATATACCATGATTACAAAAACTTTGAGAACTCGCCAAATCCACCGTGTTATTTTGCACGCAAAGCCGTATTTTCCTTCTTCAAAAAGTTCCAATGTTGCTTTAGCAGCGTTTTGGTTCATTTTTTAAAAGACTGCTCATCTTTCTCATTTTTCACAACTGCTCTAAGTTGGTTAAAGCTCGAACCCAGTGTGTATCTGGTAACTAGCAATACCCAGTGGTGCTTTACAGGGACGATCTCCTCATGGTCCTTTGCTCAGGCTGCCTGGTGCAGTA